TTAAGGCAAAAAAATGGGATCCAGCATGACATCATGCATCTTAGTCAAAGCCACAGATAAAACCTGAGCCTAGAGAAGCACTGGGTTCAGCTTTTATCTGTGGCTTTGACCAAAGCTCTTGCACAAGGGATCTTGTACCCCTTAAAAACGCCAACATCTCTGTTGGTGTCAGGCTATTTGCATAAATTATGAAATATGCTGGAATAAACCATTTATATAGTTGAGAGGAGAGCTAGTTACATGCCATGTCAAGATCTCATTAGCAGTGAAAGCCCTCTGCAAGAAAGTGAAAGCTGCAGGATATTCCTGAAGAAAATGGCTCCAATAGAAATTAGTAGTGTTAAGGGCAAAGATTCATCTATCTGGGGCCTTTGGCATAATCAAGTAAGCAGACAACACTAGACTGACCTACGTTCTCTGTTTTGTTGTCTTGCAGAGTTTAATGCTTCAGAGAAACTTAGAGATGACCTACAAAAGATCTGTGGAAATTAAAACTGAATAAAATCCCCCATGATGGAAAAATATTTAATTGCTGAACTATTTGTAAAATGGTATAGAGAATACATCTACCTTATTTTTTTTAAAAAAAATGCTTTATTATGGTCAGCTCAGATGGGTTAGTTTAACTTCAAACTTCCCATGGACCAGGTCTTCAAAGAAGATAAGCATTTGAACAGACATGAAATACAGATCTCTGATAAATTGCCTGAACAAAATATTAATGTAGGCATCTATGGCCACACTTTGTCACGGATTCTGGAAGGGCTCTTTCAAAAGAGTTCCTAACTTTTCTTCCACTAAATATCTGATAAACTATGGGGCCTGATTTTGTATCCATGGAAACTCCAAATGGCCACACCATCTTTGAGAGTCCCTAGCCAGTTGTAATGGCTGAAGTATCCAAATGAAAATAATACCCAGTTTCTTAATTTTGTTAAGACCCACAGTGCTATTCCCAAGGACTGTGTATATGAACTGTTTGATCCTGTTGTTTGGAGGCTTTTCTTTCTTATTTAATGTTGTAGTAGGAAAAAAAACTATAATTCTTTCCACCTGAAGTCTTCTAGCTTCAAGTTTCAATGACTGGATTTAATTATGCCTTTTTTCATTAAAGGGCCCTGTAGTATTGAATATCTTCTCCTTGGTTAGATACTTAAACTGTGACCAAGTTGCCTCTTATCCTTCTATTTGAGATAGATTGAGCTCCTTAAGTCTCTCATTGTAAAGCATGTTTTCCAGACCTCAAATAATCTTTGTCATGTTTTTTGTGTGCTTCCCAGTTTTACATAAAGGACCCTAGTTTTCTATGCCTGCCTTTTCCATCAGCTCCTTTTTTGTTTGTTTGTTTTCCAGTTTTACTTTCTCTCTGATAAATTATGCCCACTTGCTTTTCAACCTGCCTTACTGAGGATAGAAGATCTGAAGACACTCAAGGGTCAGCTAGTTGTGAACCCATTTAGTGAGCTTGCTCCCAAAAGCTTCACCTTGGGTTCCACCAGCTTTGCTTTGCACACAGCTGTCTTGGTGTTGAGAACAGAGGGGTGTTTACCAATATAGCTAATCCTTGGACCATTTAGGCCCTTAAAGATGATCTGCAAAGCAGAAATATATAAAGGGTTTTGTGATTTCTTGCTGCTTTATGATATATAAATATGTCCTGAAAAGTGTTTTCAAATGGGAAAAAAAAATTCTTCCCCCTTTCCCTTGTTTTGTTGGAGAATTCCTTGAATGACTCAATCATTCATTAGGAGCTTTCTCAGCTGTAGCGGTTGGCATGGTCAGTGTTGAATTTTTTACAAACAGTTCTTTCCCCCAAATTTTTAAGTTAAATATGTTACAACAAAAGTGTTTGAAACAGGTGGAATAATTGTTCTTGCAATTAATGATATATAATGTCCTTGGTAGCTCTAATATAATAAACCTATCAGTTCTGTAGTTGTCTGGAGTTTTCCAGGGTAAACAAAACATCTAGAAGAAAAACTATTTTTTTCTGTTTAAAAAAAATGCGCAAGAATCCTTTCGACCTCTTTGTACATCACAAAGAAGCAATAAAATGGCACATGCCTAGTATTTTCCCTTTGCCCAGAGACCTTGAAATGCTTATGGAATCAAATAGGCAGCCAGTGGAGTGAGCAGAGAATGGTATGATGCGCTCTCTTGTAGATGGGTTTTCCCCTAAATAATGGCTGAAGCATGTTGTACAAGGTGGAGTTTCTGTATAGTCTTCACAATCCCACTGAGGTATGCTAAATTGCAACAAACTAACTTGGAGAAGACAAAAGTGTAGATCACAATGATTCAGCTAAGAGGGAGGAGTGCAATTGTCTAGGCTTAAAACAAACAAAAGGATGTATTTCTTCACATAATATAGTCAAACTGTGGAACTTCTTGTTGGGGTGCTGTGAAGGCCAAAAGTAAAACTGAGGTCAAAAAAGACTTAGATAAATTCATGAAGGATAAGTCTATCAATGGCTATTAGCCAAGATGGTCAGGGATATAATCACATGTTCTGGGTGTCCCTAAATACCAGATGGTGGGACTGGAAGACATGATGGCTCTCTTGAAATTGCCCTGGACTGTTCCTTCCCTCCAAAGTATCTGGCACTGACCACTGTCAGAGACAGGCTACTGGACTAGATGGACCATTGATCTGACCCACTATGGTTGTTCTCGCGGTTGACCTTACCCCAGCATAGATGTGACTAGTTTGAAAGAGCCATAGCTATGCTGCTGTAGTGTAGACATACCCTAAGTGTGTAAGTGGGAGCAATATGACCCTGAGACAGTGTACTGCCCTCAACAGAAGATGAGATTACTGTCCTGTCCAGCTCCACTTAAGTGTTTTCCTCTTGCTATCATCAGCTCCTTGTTCTGATGTGGGGTGAAGTGGCTGATATTCATCACTTTGTTTATCTCTTCTAGGCACTACATTATCCAATGTGATGACGCTAACGACATCTGCAGGAAAAAGAGATGCGTGCCATCTGCCTATTGGCATAGGAGTCCAAGGCATCTCGCATTCTCCTGTAGAAGTCTCCCATGTATGTTGAAAACTAGAGGAGATGGGATTGTGCCTTGCAGTATTCTACAAGAGGGCTGTAGGGAAACAAAAGCTTATCATGAGATGACATCAATGCCTTAATACCAAAGTAAATGCCTTTATGAATACATAGATAAATTACTGTATGTGAGATCCCAGTTTAGTGCTACACTGTCAACACCTTGTAGTCAATAGTGTCTAGTACTTCCAACTCCAAGTGTTCAGAAATCATGATTCAGACTCCAATAAATCATGTGATTGTTTTAATATTGTTTTTAATTTGCCTTCTGATTTCTGAGATTTTTAGGGAAAAGCTGCCCACTCCCAATTTCTGTGTGATCGTTTCAGGTTTAAAATCCAACATTAATGTATACTCAAAAATGTGACCTCCAGATGACTTCTGGGGAAAGGGGATTCACCCTCTTCTAATCCCAAACTATCTCTATACATATACACCCTTATTGCACTATGCGGACTCTCTCCTTGCTTTACAAGGTCTCCTGCCCCACTCATATTTTCTCTCCAATGTTTCATCACATTCTCCTCTCCCACTACCTGCTCTAACATTCCCCTGTGCCCCTCCATCTCACATACTATCAGCTCTTTAACATCCCCTATCCCCACATTCCCCTATGCTCCCTTGATATCCTTCCTGCCTTGTACGTTCCCTTGCATACACCCCACATTCCCATTTTCACAATTTCTTGACCATGGAACTCTCAGGGAAGTTGGCAGCCAGTCTCCAGTTTCACTGGAAGCAATAGGTAGTGATGGCTTCACTTTCCCATATAACATTAAAAGATTAGAGAAAAATGGTGGCCATCTTTACTGAGGTCAGCCTGTAATTTCAATCCTGTTGAAGTGATGGGAAAAATGGGCATTTTGATTAAGGCCAAAAATTGTGAGTATGAGTGGTAGAAATTGGAGATCATAACAAACCCATCTAAAACTGCAAGACTTGTGATTAAAATTGCAACAGTTGGCAACTCCTGGTGTTTCTTTATGCTAGTTCTGTCAGCAGCAAACATTTGCCATCTGTTCATGTCCCCAGAGACATCACCCATCAATGCCACCACAGTTTTCTCGGTGCCATAGCCTAGGCCTTGTGTACACTAGAAAGTGTTTGGCAGTAAAACTATACCATACAGCAAATGCTCCTAGTGGCGATTCACCTTAGACTAGCAAGACTTATTTTGCTTACCGTAGTTCCTAGAACAAAGTATGCGATGCCACCAGAGCAACTCTTTTGATGGTATAACTATGTCCACACTTGGACTTTTGCCAGCACACGTAAGGTGTGTAAGGATGTGTGACTTTTTTCACCCCCCGACACAGCCGTGCCAGCCAAGCGCAGACCAGGCCCCAGGTTGCCAGTCAGAACTCTGGCATGACGGCTGCACTTCCCGGCCCTCACTGCTTCGCCTGACAGAAAACTCCAAACAGCAGCAGCCACCCGAAGCCGTGTCCCTAGCCTCAGCAGGAGCTTCCATAAGAGCGGCCAGACGGGGTCAGACCAAAGCTCCATCCAGCCCTGTGTCCCGTCTGCCGACAGTGGCCAGTGCCAGGTGCCCCAGAGGGAACGAACAGAACAGGGAACCACCCAGGGATCCAGCCCCTATCGCCCATTCCCAGCTTCTGGCAAACAGAGGCTAGAGACCCCATCCCTGCCCGGCCTGGCTACTAGCCGTGAATGGACCCACCCTCCCTGAACTTATCTAGTTCTGTTCCCGTCCCCTGCGCTGCCCAGGCCCGTCCTGTGGGTCGCGGGGCAAGCTGGGCTCACCGACAGGCTGCGCGGACCGAGCGGCCAACGGCTCAGTGTGCCAGTCAGGAGGAGACGGTGCCGCCATGCACGCCGGGATTGGGAGGGAAGTGAGGCTGGTGAGGTGCATGCCGGGAGCGGATCTGGCTGATGCGGTGCATGCTGGGATCAGAGGAGGAAGGGGGTTTAGTGCCAGCGCGGTGTATGCCGGGATCGGGGCGGGCGGTGTTCGGACTCAGAGGCCCAGCGCGGGGCGGCCGCTCGCTTGGTGTCTTGGGACGGCGGCGGCGACCGTTGGGGCGGCTCCGGAGGCTCCTATCCGGCGGGGATGGCGGATGCGGCGGCTTCCCCGGTGGGGAAGCGGCTCCTGCTGCTCCTGGCGTCCAGTCCGGGTGAGGGTGAAGCGGTGGGGCTGGAGCCGGGGCCTGCTCTGCCCTCTCGGGCTTGGCGGAGCGGCACCGTGCGGGCCATGAGCGGAGCGGTGCCCCAGGACCTGGCGGTGAGACCCGGCGGGGGAAGCTTTGGGGAAGCCCGGGGCCTACACGGGGGGCTTAAGCGAGCGGGGCGGCGACGGCAGGGGGGGCCCGGCGAGGCCTGGCCTCGTCTCCTCCCCCCGGGCCCATGCGGTGCGCGGGGGGGGGCGGATCAGTCGTGGCGTTTTGTCCCCTTCCCCTTGTGGGCTGGGGCCGTTCTTCCCGCGGCGCTGGGTGATGCCTCAGGTTGTTCAAACTACCCCGCCTCCCCCATGTTGCTTCGTACTTCTGCCTCGATAACGGCCCGGGGTGTTTAGCGGAGCGCCTTGTTAGGGGCATTTTGCGCCTACCCCGTCCAGTGTTGCTGGGAGCGTTGGGCGTGTTTCGTGTATCATCCTCTCTTAGTTTGTTTGCAGCCTATGTTTCACTTTCACTGTAGTTAGGCGCTAGCTCAGTTCTGCAGGATTTGGGTCTGCCAGAAATAGCTGGGAAGGTTTAACCCAAACTCTTCCTGTGTGGATTAGATCAGCAAGTTTTTTTTTTTAGGTCAGCCTTTCTTTGTGGTTTTATACAATGAGGCTCTGCAGAGCTGAGAGGAATTTCATTGCTGCTACTGTTTTCCAAAGATCATATGTAGCGTTAAATGTTACTTAGCATCTTGACTTTGAAATACAATCTGGCCACTTGAAAATAGTGTATTGTGCACCCACACTGCATTGACTTAAGATACCTGCACTGAAGTTCCCCACTCACTCCGTACAGATACATCTGTAGGCTTGAGGAGCCTGACCACAGTGGGATGGGGGTGGCTGAATATAGGAGTGATTCCAATGGTTGTGCCATCTCATTTGGGTAAACGCATCTGTTGGGGGGAGGAGTTTGGCTAATAAGGTACCTGTAAAATCTACAACTGCAATATTTGTGAGAAGTAAATTCTAAAATAGAAATGAGAGGTTTCTGATTAGCTGCTAGGGTGGGGGGTCTATGGATTTAGGCATTGCAATACTGAACATCGAGGTACCTAGAAAATCACAGGAACAACACCATGATCCACAAAATTGAGTTACAGGTTTCAGAGTGGTAGCCATGTTAGTCTGTATCAGCAAAAATAATGAGGAGTACTTGTGGCACCTTAAAGACTAACAAATTTATTTGGGCATAAGTTGTTTTAGCCCACGAAAGCTTATGCCCAAATAAATTTGTTAGTCTCTAAGGTGCCACAAGTACTCCTCATTTGAATTAAGCTCTTAAGCATTCTGTACAATTTATGGGTAGAGCTAGATGTCCAAGAACCCAATCCATGAAAACTAGCAGGCCAGGCAGGGAGCCACCTAAGCTAGCCAATTGAAGGTGCCAAGGAGCAGGATATGTGCTAAGCCTTTCTCACCCCTCAGAGATAGGTACCGAAGTCCAGGTTGCAGGAAGGCACCTAGCTATTCTTTCTGATCCATGAATGGGCAGGAACCTGCCACATGGAGTCAAGTGTGTTAGGCGCTTAATGCTTTTCTTGCAGGAATGAGTTAAGCACCTGCCTTTCTCCACACACAGGGAGGGAGCTGGTGGTGCCCACTATATAACTTTTACCCCAGTGGTTAGAGAACATGTCTGGGATGTGGGAGACCCAAGTTCAATTCTTCCCCCCTCTGCCAGAGGGGAAGAAGTGATTTGAACAGGGGTTTCTCTTCTTCCCCTCTGGCATAGAAGGAGGGAATTAAACCTGGGTGCCCTAGGCAAGTGCTCTAATGACTGAGCTGAAAGTATTAAGGTGAGCAACTTCTACTACCATTATCACTTCCTCTGGGTGGCTTTTGAATGGGACCCAATTTGTTAGGCGTGCTTCGAGTTTGCCTATCAGATCGGGCCCTGTGTGCAAGTTAGGCAGCCAAACACCTGTCTTCCTTTGATTCATGATTTGCTCTGGGACTTAGGTGGGAGGTAGGTGTCCTGATGCCTAGAGTGAGGCAGCATCGTGCATGCTCGGAGGCAGAAACTTAGCCATTGAGAGAACTTTTACCCTGAAATCTTAGTCATTGAGTCAGTTTAAGTGCTTACGAGATTTGAGTTTTGTGGATTGCAGTGGAGCCAAAACTGGGACTTAAGTGCCTAAATACCTTTGTGGGTTGCACCCCTAGTGTCTGGGTGCATAAAACCTTGTTAAACACATGATGGCTGTTTTTGCTAGAAAGGTATTCAGGTTTGTTTATTAGCATAGACAGCATGTAGTAGATTCCTGTCATTTGGAAGCTTTAGACCTAATCTGGGGAAACAGAATTGTTTCTAATTCTGCAATACCGGAGACTTATTCTGCTTTCAGCTTGAGGAATTCATAAACCATGCAATACCTTTATGTACTTTCTTTTTTGTTATTTTCTTCTGAAGTTCAGTCTAACAGAGTTGAGTGAATTTGTAGACACACTTCTCCCAAAAGGCATCTCTAATGTTTGCATTAGATTAGATTAGATTAGATTTGACCAATTTTTGTCCACAGGTACTGAGAGCACATTGGTACATTGAGCCTTTGGTAACTCAGCCCATAAGGTGAAAAATCAAACCAAAATATGGGGACAAGTATCTTTGCCTTCAGTGCTCTATATCATAGCACTTATGTACATCCAACTTGTTTTCCCTTTATTTTTCTTCTTGCTCCCTCCCCATTGCCAGTGATGTCAGGCTTGATAACCCTTTACTCTCCTCTCATAAGTATTTATCTTCTTCCAAGCTGTCTGTGGAACATCCTTCTTGAACCTGTTAAAGCTACCTCCCTTGCCATAGTCTTTGGTGGCAGGGAATTTCTTCTGTCATATCACCTATAAAAAGCGTGAGGGATGATAATATACATCTAGGAACAAAGAATGTAGCCCATACTTGCATTCCGGGGGCTCTGTTCTAGGAAGCTGAGATTCTGGAAAAGATTTGAGGGTCATCGTGGATAATCAATCCATTTGCCCACACCATTATACTGGGACTTCATTTTCATCTGATGTTGGCCCTAGGGTGCATAAATAGTGGAATCTCAAATAGGAGTACAGAGGTTATTTTAACTCTGCATTTGCTACTGGTGTAACCACTATTGTAATACTGTGTGCAGATCTGGTGCCCACAATTCAAGAAGGATGTTGATAAATTGGTGAGGGTTCAGTGGAGAGCCACAAGAATGATTAGAGAATTAGAAAAGATATCTTACAGTGATAAACTCAAGGAACTCAATCTATTTAGATTAACGAAGGTTGAGGGGTGACTTGATTATAGTCTATAAGTACTTAACTAGAGAACACCTATTTAATAATGACAGGTTTCAGAGTAGCAGCCGTGTTAGTCTGTATTCGCAAAAAGAAAAGGAGTATTTGTGGCTCCTTAGAGACTAACCAATTCTCTGCTCCTTGAAGTCTTTAAACCACGATTTGAGGACTTCAGTAGCTCAGACATAGGTGAGAGGTTTTTCGCAGGAGTGGTGGGTGAAATTCTGTGGCCTGCGTTGTGCAGGGGGTCGGACTAGATGATCATAATGGTCCCTTCTGACCTAAATATCTATGAATCTATAACGCAAATGCTGAAGACATGATTTTAAGTGAGGTTCTGGGCTGCGTGAGCACTGTGTCCAATATGTTAATATACAAGTTCTTTGACTGTTTCAAGTTGCTTTAATTGTAAACTCGCTCTTAAGGAAAGATTGCTATAGCGCATTATCTGCTCTACAGGCACATCTCCCAAAAGCAGAAACCCAGCCTTTGCTGGGAATACTTTTTAAGAGGGGAAGAGTTTCAGGGCTGTTTCCTCTGACCAATTTCTGGAAGGATAGTTTTGTTACTGTATCTGTCGTTCTTCAGAGTTTTTGGAGGACTGAGATTCTAACAGCTTTTTTTTTTTCTTCTGGTGGGGAGGATGTGACCTCTTTAAGTGATGCTGCTCTCAGCTCATCCCATCTGTAATTTTATACAGGTTTTATACAATATTGCACCCCTATTTTAACATCATCTTGGTGCAAGGTTTTCCCATTGAGCTTTGTGAATCTCAGAATCACTACATGGGGGAAGATTTTCACCAAGTAGCCTGGTTAGTTACTGCTATCATAGTGCAGCACCTGGTGGTGTCAGTGTGTAGCACTTGTTTGATTTTTGTTTTGTTGGGCAACCTGCTTCCCTGCCTGCTAGCAGTCTGGGGAGTAGGAACTTTTGTGAAATTGTTGCCCATGGTATCCGCCTGCTCAAGAGCGCTGTAAGTGTTGCAGCTCTCATCCTGTTTCCCTCCATCGCTGAATCTTATATCATTGCTTTCTCACTACCGCTTACATATTCCAGAGCCGAGGATAGCAGCACAATAGGAACTGCCACTACTAGGGACACTGTAATGATTGGGTTGTCTACTGTGATCCTTGGTTGCACATTGTTCTTGAGAAAAGGTTCCATCAAGCTCTGTTTTGGAGTTTGGGTTCTCTTGCCTGGGGCTTTGGTGACACAAGAATGAAGCCTGGTCGCACAACCACATAATATTTTGTAGACACACTAATTTATTATACACACTTACAGTTTAAACTCCCTTTCCGTTATAAAGCTAGCTTTTCCCCCTGTACTCTGACCTTGCTAAAGTTTAACCATTTTTCCTGAAAACTTGTTTGCAGGGTCTCTCTCAAGGATAGAATTTTTCTGTGACGTTTGAGGGAAATTGGACTAGGTGTTTCAGAGATTAAATAATCCAGGGCATCGAAAGGGCTAGTGCTAAGGGTGCTTAATGATATCTGGCTGTAAGCAACAGCAATACATAATAAAAGTTTCTCCAAGTCAATCTATGCCTCTGCTGAGATTGTTTAACTCAAATTTAACAGTCCATCAACACTGAAAATGTCCACACCAGCTCTCCCACATTAAAATTCATAATGACCATCAGCATTACAGGTATTCTTAAAAATAAAAAATCCAAGGCATGCTTTTTCAGCGTGTGGGCCACATCTTAATAACAAGATTGTCTTATGGACATCTTTCTTCTCAGTGGCTGGAACAACATGGGACGCCAATGCCCAAACGTTACG